GATTGCAAGAAAATTTCAAGAACAATAGAAATTCAGTCTAAGAAGGAACAAGTATAAAAAGCTGAAGGAATGAAGTTTTATGTACTTAAAGTGACTGAAGTGCATCATGTACTTGATGATGTTTAATACTAAGTTTCAAAGTATTTGCAATGTTTCGAGTAGTTTTGCGAATCAGTGAAGCTGAAAGCTGATAAAGCTTCGACATTTAAATTTTATGGAAGGAAAATTAAGAGCTTTATGGAGTGGTCCTTGTATCTTGAACTATGTTTTAAGTACAGAAAACTAAAATAGTGAAAATTGATAGATGTAAATCTAATTGAAGAGGAGGTTGAGCAATGGAAATCTGAATTTTGAGATGTTGACAAAGTTCAATGATATTTAAAATCGATAATTAGCCAACTATAGAAGATGTCCGAGCACACCAAATACTTAATCATACTTATAAGACCTTCTACTATCAACAGCAAGGTTCTTATCACTCAGTTGAACAAACTTTATTTTTGAGACTTGAACCTTTTGATAGTTCGATGTTGTATTCCCAATTAGCATACCGAGCCCTTAAGCTAATGCACCGTCAACTCACTTCTACTCATAGTTTTGAATTGAAAAGAAGCAATCTTCAATAAAATTCTTTATAACGAGCATCTCACTTCTACCTTCTAGACACAAGACAAAAATTCCTCCACAATTCTCCAACAAAACCTCGCTAAACCTTAAAAACAATTCAAACTACTGTTGCTGCCGTTAGTTGCAACAAAAAAAGCGCAATAATTTCATTTTCTTATCATCCAGCACAGATGGAATTAAAAGTCTTAACTACATTTTATTATTATTTTATGTAGTCACATTCCATTTTTATACAATAAAAAATGCATAGAGTTGAAAATTGCCATGAGAAATAATTTCATCTTTCAGATGCCATTTTTTTTAAATGGAAAGTAAAGGTGTTGCAGTGTGAAACTTTATTCTTATTCTTTCTTAACCACCGCATAATTGTCTTAAACCCGAGATATCTGGTGTACTTCCTGCTTGTTCTTGTTGCATTTTATGCTTCCATCTCTTTTAACTAAGGGGGGGGTTGTTCATAAATGATGGGAGTGTATAATGGAAATTTTTGATTTTATGGGTTTGAAGTATTCAGTTTGAGGCAAGTGTGATATGTCAGAGTAGAGTAGAAACTGGAATATCGAGTTACATGAAGGCAACTCTTCCAGTATGACGAGTAGGGCCACTATGGTCAAGGAGTAAGGTGGCAAACCATAAATCTTGAACTATCTATTTTGTGAGACGTAAGTTCAATCCTTCAACATCGAACACTTCTGGAACAATCCCCCCCATCAACCCAACGATATCATAAATAATTGAACATCATTGCCAAACAACCCGCATTTAACTTGCTAACTACTCAAATATTATTATATACACTAAAGAATGAAAACTGTTGAAACAATGTGCAGCTAATGACTATCATTTATTCATGTTATGATCGCATTTACCTATTCAACATTCGCCTTCAAAATGAGCTTCAATGAATAGAATTTTATTTTAATGAAGATTATGCTTTTCATGATAATAAAAAAATTGCCACTGAATAAAAGAATTGTATTATGCTATAAATATATGGATTAAAAGTGTCTCGAATCGCAGTTTTGCTGTTCGTCAGACGAGAATAAAATTTCATGGTGAAAACTTTCCAACAAACAGTTTTGAAAAAGTCAGAGCATTAAAAAAGAATCAAAAATGGATTAAAGTTTTTTTTTTCATTTCAATTCTTACTTTACAGACAGTAAAATGACAAAAAAAAAATAAAACTCGCTTTGAAGTTTAAGTGGGTAGTAAAAAGATTGGGAGATATGAGTGTTTTGAAAAGGATTTATGAGAGATTTTGAGTGGCGATAAAAGAGAGATTTAGGATGGAAAATTTATTTGTAGGAAAATTGAGGAAATTTTTCAAAAATAAAATTTTTTTATGTTGGTTGGAGAGTTGTGAAATTTTTCGGGGACCAGTTTTTAGTGTTATTTCGCAAATGTCATCAATTGTCGTAGTGCAGGAACATGCTAGTTGTCATGGGTTTAATTCTATATTTTATTCATCCCTCAAGGGGTGCGAGGTTCGATTCCTACTCAAGATTACCACATTTTTCACAAAATCACAGCTTAAATATTCCAACTCCCAAAACACATCTTATTTCTCTGAGTTTAAACTCCCAACCTAGATGTTCCTTGAAATCAGCTTAAAGTCCCACAAAACTTCCTCACCGAGAGGAAAACTTTTAATCCTACTTAATTAACTTATTCAAATCCCATCATCTCCCTACCTCTATCCTTATCTTCCTTTACTACTGTCACATCCACAAAAAAATTCCAATTAATTCTTATCAAACATTTCACTAATTCTGTTTTTCCATCTGACCACAGTCGTCGTTATGCCGTCTCACTGATTTAACCTCTCATTTCGAATTCTAATCTTAAACATTTTTTTTTTCATTCCTACTTCCATTGTTGACTTTTCCTATAAGAGTCTTGATCGGTCAAATGCTAATTTTGCACAGTTCAGCTACCCGAAATGAGCAAACAAAGGTACGGTATGATAAAAACTATTTCCGGAATGGTATATTGCTTATACAAGGATGAGAGTCAATGGAACGAAATGAGACATGATGTTGATAAAAAAAAGGATTTGAAGAAGAATGGAATGAAAGGAGCAGAAAAATGAGAAAAACTTTTTTCTATGCTTTTTTGTGGTATTCGAGGTATTTTAGGTCGTGTGCAGCCTATGGGTTATTTGACATCATTTTGCTTCAATGAATGCCATTGAGAGTCATCTGTTTATTTCATTTGGGATGAGGGGGAAGTCACTTGAAGGTTGAGTTGGTGCTGGAAATGAAGGCTATTACAGGAACGCAAGAAGAAAGCCTAGAAAAAAATTAAAAAATCTCAGCACCTTCCACATCCAGTGCAGTCCCCCTGGTATCCATTCTCTTCATGTCCATCCACATAATTGCGGATAGAACTGAGTCTATTGTATACACAGACAGCCATACAAATAAAGCAGCACAATACATAATGAGATGAAATATAAGCCGGCACAGAATTAAATGGATTTAACAGATTTAAGCGTCAATCATTGAGGAAGGTATGTGCCACACAAAAGTGCCTGATTATGTTTGCTCAATTGACTTCAGTTCCTTTCATGGAATGCCTTTTTGTAATGCTTGATTATAGAGTCGTGATCTTTAACTTCTTCTTTTGCATCATCCTCAATATTATTTCTATGTTTTGTGCTCTATGTTTTCAGTTTTAATGGACAAATGGATATCGCGATTATTAAATCAATCCGGCACGCGGTTAATTTTCAAAAAGATTTTTGCCTCCTCGCTCACAAAAAGGCATGCGATATGATTTTAATCGCAATTCACAATGGCATTTCATTCATACCATACCGCAATTTATAATTCATCAGAGATATATGCTCAATTACATAGTACAGTGAGACATAATTTTAGTGTTTATTTTCTCTTAATCACGTTTTAATTGTTAATTACACTGACTATACAGCTAGTATTGTTTTTTCATTTTGTGAGTGGTTATTTTGAAATTGAGACAAATTTTCGTCATTTTTTGATAGCTTGGTAGCGGCTATAGGTTGGAAAATTCACGATTTGAGGTGTTTGTGGGTGAAAAAGCTCACGCGATTGTCTGTGGAAACTGATAATTAAAGCTGTGATTAAACTGACGTGAGTCGAGCCTAAATCTAGTTTTGATTACAGAATGACGGGCGTTATTTGTATGACTCAAAATTGATTTTTTTAATTTTAAAGCTATAACTAGAATATGCTAGATTGTGACTGTTTGATAACCTTTAAAAATATAATTTGTAGATTTATTTTTGCGAAACAGCAAAGGTTTGGAATGAGTTTTAATTATGCTTATTGTTGCTGATCAAGGTCTTGAGTTTAAGAGCTGGTTCTTCAAGCTTACTCGCCAAAAATAGAATTTAATAACTGGATATTAAAGAACCGACCCGTCAGACCCTCTAAAAAATCCAACTTTAAAGCACATTTCCGTCTCTTTTTAAATCACAAAAATCATATATTATCAGCATCAGCATCATCATCATCGTCATTCCACTATGATTATCACCACAACATGACAATACACAAAGCAATTTACGCACATAGTTCCCATGCCAGTGAGAGAAAATAAAATGTCCACAAATAACATTCACTATAGTAAACAATGAATTGATTGTAGATATCCAACAATATGTGTGAAATGAAATAAAGAGAAATGAGAAATAAAAAAAAGATTCCTGGCAAATAAACAAACATGAACGTGTGCTCATTATGACCAAAGCGAAATGTCTCAATTACTGCATCGTCATTCAGTTATTTTCGCAATTTACTCAGTTTTTCGAGACTTTATCGTTTTCATTCGGATCGCTTTGTACATTCGAAAAAAAAAGGGACAAGTTGATTTCGTTGTGCAGTAATGATGATGATGAGGAAATGAGATTGAAATTGGGTACGAAAAATAACAGAAAAGTAGAAATACTGATTCCCAGCAGGTGATGTATTCTGCATGAGAAAAGGTCATAGTCATTTTAACTGACCTTTTTGTTTTGTATAAAACTTACACAGAAAGATAGTCTCTATGCTGATTTTGTCAGATATTTGTCAGAAGAGTTGATTTGAACCTTAAATTTTGACTTATGTAGTTTTAATCTTGATCTTTAATCTCACAACTTTACTTTCAAGTTCAAAACTTAGCTTACAAGTTCAAAACTTGACTCTCAAGATCAAAACCTGACTTTAAAGTTGATAACTTGATCTTCAAGTTCAAAATTTGATCTTCTAGTTCAAAATATAATCTTCAAAACACAAAATTTGACAATTCAAGTTCAAAAACCTTTTAAAATATGATCTCATTATGCTATCAAGTTGGATAATCTGACAAAGTTGTCACATCACTTAATAAGTATTCTAAAAATAAATGCTCACCGTCAATCTTCAACGTTCCACTCTGTATGACTTCAAAGCGTTTCTTCACGTGCAATGAAGCACCATCTTTAGACCATTTAATATCAGGCGTAGGCGATCCACTAGCTCGGCACAATAATGTCGCAACGCTACCCTTCGGTAATGTTTGATTCGCTGGCCCAATTTTTATAATTGGTGGTGGTATGTCATCAACAGAATTTACCTATAAATAAATAACAAAAAAAAGGTATTTTGAGAAATGAATTTCGAGTAAATGAATGATTAATTTATGTAAATATTGATTCAGTAATTTTGGGCATGTTTCCTGTAATAGCGTCAATGCCACCCTTCTGTTTAATCAACAGCAAAAAAAAATCCCCATTTACATGTTTTTGTGGTTAAACAAACATTTTTCTTTCCTTATCAATTGATTTATCTACGGCTTCAATTTTCGACATTAGAAAAATAAATTTTGATTATTTGAGGATTAACGTACGCACATGCCAAGTGCTTTGCTACTTTTCAGGCTTATTTTAATGCTCAGTCGTTTAATAAAATGAATAAAAATAATAATAGCATTGATTAATACGATCGGATATGATAGGAATTGTGTCTAGTATGTTGCTCATAGTAATTTATCTTCGATTATACAGGAAAAGGGATGGAATGAACAATTTTATGTCGAAAGACAAGAAATAAGGAAGTTGAAAGTTGTGATTATTTATGTTGTCGAGAGAGAATTGGGAGTGGAAGTGGAAAATTGCTTTAAGTATACTGTCAATTAAGAGAGCTTGCGGTTTTTCGTATTTAAAATGGAATGGATGGAGAAAGAAGAAGAATTATGGACGTAATTTAAGAGATTTATAGAGATTTTTAAAGACAATGGAACGAGAATTTGGATATTATTTGAAATTTATTCAAAAAGTATGACAATTCGGAAGTCAATCCTGTACAGTTCACTGAAAACCTGTGATAACCAAAATTATCAAACTACAAAGACCTATTTAAGTATCAAAACTTTGTACGACTCTTATCTCAAACATCTTCATCGTCACTTTAACTTCTCAAATCCCCCATTTCCAAAATTTTTTATTCCTCTTAAATTCTAATTTCTTCTCAAAAAAATTGCCATCGAGAAAGAAAAAAAAAATAAATTTTTATTTGATTGTCATTCGACTTTATCTAGCTTATCAAAACTTCTTCCAAAAAAAATCTCCTAAACTTCCATTCAGACTGAAAGAAATAAAAAGAAATTCAAATGAAAAACAGAAAAAAGATTTAAAAAGGCACGAAAAACTCTCAGGAAGGAGTCACGATAAATCTAAATCCACTTTATCTTTAACACATTTAAATGCTTAAGAATGTCTCTTTTGTAATCTCAAAGGACCCTCGTTACGAATTTTTGCGTTTCTAATTTTCATAATTTAAACTGATAAGATAAGAAACAATGGAAGTTTACAGACAAAGGCTGTGTGTGCAGTTTTAAAGTCACTTTTTCTGTACGCTTTAATAACTTCCCGAAAAAAAAGTTTTTCTCTTTTTTGCTTCTCAGACATAATCATTAGTTAAGTATGAAAGGAGGAGGAAAAGCGAAAGTGAAGGAAGAAACAAAAGGAAATGAATGAAAATCGAGCTAGAGGGTCTTTTGGCAGCTGTGATAATGAAAAACTTTATTTTTCCAACAAAAGAAAAGTAGAGAAAAAATTTTTGCTTCCTATTTCTAGCAACTTTTTTTCGGTTGTGTCCTCGGATGGATGGTTATGATGAAGAGGGTTGTTGATAAGTGATGTGTAAAATTTGGGCTTTTCAGGATGGAGCAGATCGTTTAGGGTTATAGAGTGAGGTACTAGAGTTCTAGAGCGAGGTTCAAGAAAGCGAAAGTCAGGTATTTGAGTACTAGTAAAGTGCTAAAGCACTTGAGTACTCGAGTGAAGTACTAGAACACGATTGAGGTACTAGAGTACTGGTGTGATGCACTAGAGGGCAAGAGTCGTGTACTAGAGTAAAGGACTAGGGGACTAAGGTACTAGAGTGATGTACTAGAATACTAGAGTGAGACACTGGAGTACTAGAACGTGAGACTAGAGCAAAAGAGTAAGGGACTAGAGTGAGGTATTTGTGTTCTAGAGTAAATTTCTCTCGTGATATTTCAGCCAAAAACAGCAAACTTCTATTTATCAACGTCATTTACACACAGCCCCAAATAGAGAATAGAAATTAATAACAGCAAAAAAAAATAAGAAGCAAAAATGTTTCCTCGGTTAATAAAAGAAAATCTGTGTTTGCAATAAAGCTTAATACCCAAAAAAAAAAAATTATTTGATACAGCCTCACTTCCATTTTCATCATATCCATACGAAAACAATTGAATTGAAGCTGAGGGAAAGCGCATAAAAAAATTTCTGGGAAATATCCGACAACACAATCTCATTTTTCTGCTGATAAAGAAAAATAGGAAAATTTTCTGTTCCCTACGAACAAAAGGCAATAACAATGACTGGATGTAGAAGAGAAAAATTGGGGGATTCATGAAAAAAGAGGAATATCATCATGATGATTTAATGACGAGCAAAACATTAATCTTTAATTTTGTACTACAATACAAAAAAGGAAAAAAATATTCTTTGTGTGTTCTTTTTTTGCAAATGTTGTTTCCTTTTTTTAGCATGATTTGTTGGATATAAAGGGGGTTTGGTTGCTACAGATTTTCCGATTTTATTTTTTGTTGATTTGAAAATTAGATGACTTCTTTGGAAGTTGGTTTTGAATCAAATATGGGACTTTTAAGGACATTTAACGCATTGATAACTTAATAGTGACTTGGGCTCATCAATTAGCTCAAAAATCTAGCTGATTTGTCAGATTTAGTGTATTTCTAGAGTTTTGATTGAAAATTTATACATTTCGTAAAACTAGCTTTAGGAATTGAACTCATGTCACTATCTTAATTTGAATTCAAACTCCAATCCAAACAAAATTTTATCTAGGTAAACTGCGTCTATATCCACTTAAACTTCCCATTCATAATCCCTCAACTTACATTCGTGTATGTCATGAGCAGCCTTTTTATCCATGAGCAACGAATGAAAAAACGAACGAAGTAGAGTGAAAAAATATTTGTATAGCATACACAACATATGAATGCGATGTATTTGTATGTAATAAATGAGGAAAATTAACACTCTCGGCACATATGAGCCATAAATATTCTACTTTAATGGTGAAAAAAAAACAACAAGCAGTAGCAACACGAAAAGTACTTTTAATTGCATTAAAATTAGAATCCCAAAAGGGATGATGTAAATACTCACTTCTAAAAATGCTCTCGTTGTTCCTGATCCAGCAACGCTAAATGCTGAGCATACATAATATCCAGCATCTTCCTTCTTTACAGCTTTAATTTCCAAAGTTCCTTCCAACGTAACATGATGACGACCGTAAGTATTATCTGGAAACATTAGCTCTTGTGAGCCCTCCTTTGTCCAATATATTGACGGCTGTGGATTTCCAGATGCGATACATTCAAATTTCGCTAATCCATTGATTCCAATCTTGACATCTTGTGGCTTTGTATCAAAAACTGGCAGTGCTGTGGATGAAAAATTGATGAGAATTAATTAAAAGTTTAATGAGCATCGAGGGTAGAATTTTGATCGATCAATTAAAATTAATCTCTTGCGTGTCATCTTTTAAATGTAGCATCGAATCCCATTCCCCTACCATAACATCATCAAAATGCTGCATTGTTGATGTGATAATTTTTTAAAACTTTATAAATGCGATTATGAAGAAGAGATAATTAGAAATCGATGACTCTTCTGTCTCATTTAGTATTAATGCGATTATGTGACAGAAACAACAAACGAGAGATAGAGGAGCAAAATTGCGAATATATTCATTTATGCAATGAACGGTATAACGTTATTAGTTAATGAATATATGAATATATTTTCTGTCTTTTAATAGATAAATTAATGAGTGCATAATGTGATTGAGAAAATGTTGAAATTTGCATTTTGGGAATAATTCTGGAACGGAATTGTTCATTTTTGGTAATAAATTTATATTTAATTTGAACATTTTGTTTAATTAAGAGAGATGCAGTTTGGTGTTTTCTAAAGGGACATATGGCATGAAGTTCTTTATTTTTGTCAAAAAGTTTTGCAAATTAAATTTTATTTTGGCATCTATGTTATCTTCAGACTAATATTAATATGAATAAAGTTCTGGAATTAGCATAAAATTATGTTGAAAGCTGTTATAAACTTCATTAGCTAGCTATGTTCTTATAGAGACTAGTTTCGACCCATGAGACAAAGTTTAAGACTCAAACAAAGTCTCTAGTCAGTGCACAAATCTCAAAAACAATCGTATTCCTTTTAAAATCAAGTTCAAAGTTCATTAAGACATCGAACATTAATTCTCATATTTCAACATCATTAACTAATTCCAATAATCGATAAAATCACATAATATTGCAAACTGCAAACATTAAATCACTAAAGACAACTTTGCGAATCTCCTAAGGATTTACAATTGTTTAATTGGATGATTAATTTGAATTCTCATTAGTTGAACAATTTAATTGTTCTTATTACTATGCAATCAATTGAATCCAGAGTGGTCAGCAATTATGCAACAACACAAAAGCCTTCAAAATCGTTGAAAATTTATTGAACAATATTTTGGTAATTAAAAAGATCAAAAGTCTGATTTCATATGAAATATTTCTATAAACATGATTTGAATTGAATATAATAAGAGTCTTTGTAGTTATTAAAAAAAATTGTATAAGCTAAACGACATTTGGATTAAATATTCATCTCTAATTTATCTCAGCACATCTTGAATCTTCTTTAGAAACCTCAAAAAAAATTCTTTCATTAAAAATCCTCATTGCTTTAATTGAACCATCAATTATTCCAATAAAGAAACTTATTTTTTATCTCAAATTCTTTCAAAACACTCAGCTAGACTTCATTATATCAAAGCATCATTAAAGCAATAAAATAATTTATATTTCACTTCAAATTTAGACTTCATCAATTTATTTTTGAAGTCTAAAAATACAACAAAGTAGAGGAACTTCATGTTCTAATAGAAACGTAAATTGTGAGTAATTAATGGAATCAAGAAATCATTTATTCATTGGAATTTTTGTTAAGTTTGGTCAAATCATAGATTTTTATGGGGCGCAACTGTTGCTCATAAAAAAATATGGCGTGCAACTGTTGTGCGACAAAATTATGGAAAGCAACTGTTGTATGTAGAAAATATGGCACGCAACTGTTGTGCGAGGAGTAATATTTATTTAACGTTCAATATAAGACATCTCCACATTTCCCTACTATTGTGCTTCACAAAAATGATCAAGATTAATCGAAGATTCTCAATTAATGACTCATGAAATGGAAAAAAAGAAGAAGAATTAAAAATGTTTTTTTCCTCTTCTTATTTACACCATCTACAATGTACACACAAATTCTACATCCTCATTTCTTCTTTTTCTTCAATTATTCTTGTGTAAAAATCTAAAAGAAAAATTGTTGAAGTGTAATTAATTTTAATTAGTGGATTTAGACGTAAATTACAAGATTAAATAAGTTACATTCAAGAGATCATTAATGAAAGAAAATCTGAAATATAACATTTGAGTATAATAAGTCAAGTCTATACGCTTTTATTATCACATTATATAGAGGTTTTTTTTGCAATCATGTAGAATTCAATTCCGCCTTTAGCTTTTCTTACCGCTCCGCTCGAGTAAACATGAAATATCGTAATTTTATTGCTTTCTTCTTTATTTTGAATATTCAAGCATTAAATATAATGAATAGAATTGTAGATATGTAAAGAGAATTACTCATTATGTGCTGCCAATTTTTATTGTTCGAATAATCAAAGGAATAAAAGACAAAGCTTTTGATATAAAAGTTGTTTGGCATTGGTAAGTATGGGACTTATGAGATTTAAAGCGCTTTTTAATTCTAGCTAGTTAATTGAAAATCTTAAATTTCTACTTTGATTAAAAAGACTTTGAATTTCGAAATTAAAGTTTTCTATTTTCGAAAGTGAATTTTTCAAATTTCGAAAGTAAAATTTTCAAATTTTAAAAATGAAATATTTTAATTTTTAAAAAGTGAAATATTCTAATTTCGAAAGTGAAATATTCTAATTTCGAAAGTGAAATATTCTAATTTCGAAAGTGAAATATTCTAATTTCGAAAATAAAATTTTCGAATTTCGAAAGTTAAATTTTCAAATGTCAAAATAAAGCTTATGAATTTAGAACTTTATATAGCATAGTCACATCAACTCCTGCAGAGATTTTATTATATTTTAGATAAAGTTCTCATGATGACCCCAAGAACAATCCTAAAATCACAAACTGCCCATCGTAACAAATTAACTTTTATGCTAATCTCTCCCATTAAACTACAGCCTTTTTTCACATCATGAATCTTTTTTTCTCCTATGTCTCGATACAAATTCAAAGAGAGGCGAAACTTTCATTCCATTCAAACTACTGTTTCTGCTGTTTATTGCAAAAAACCCATTATTATCTCAGATTATAATTGTTAATTAATGAAGTATAAATAAAATACTAAAAACTTTTTATTATTTCTCTTTCCTCTTCATTCTGAATGTGTCTATTTATCTATCTATTAGACTGTATGGGATGTACATTCATTTGCAGTGTTTGAAAAGATATGGAAGGCATGTTTGTAACAGCGAACAAAGTCTTAAATAAGAATTTTTATTGGTACATATTTGGGAGGAGAACTAAGTTGCAGAGTAATTAAAAAATTTGAATTGAGAACGCAACATAAATTTAAATTTCGAAAGTGAAATATTTAAGTTTCGAAGTTAAGTTTTTGAATTTTTAAATTAAAATTTTTGAACTTCAAAAGTTAAACTTTTGAAAGTGTAATATTTATGTTTCGAAATCAAAACTTCGAAATCCAAAATGCACAAAACAATCCATTCAATTATGCAAAATCTACATTCAATAACTCGATATGTAGAAGCAGGTCGTGCATCGATTCATATTATTTCTTATTCCAAATCGAAACGAGTGAGAGAGAAACCATTAAGAGTCATGAATGAAGGGACGATAAGCGATAACGTGTTGGAAATTGTAATGTTTTTTTCCAATCGAACTTTGAACTTAATTTTCATTTCTTTTCCTCCGTCTTTTTTTTTTACTGTCGATACATGACCGTTCTGATAGTCATCAAATTGAAAATTGTATACATGTTCATATGCAGCTACAGCAACTTTATTTAAATTTTTAATACCCGAATCGATTGACCCCGAATATAATCAACACATAAGCAGAAACAGAAGATACTTACAATTAACAATCAATTGTGCTTTAGAGCTGATTTGACCGACGCTATTGTGAGCTTCACAAATGTATGTTCCCTCGTCGCTCGGCAGTACATTTTTTATGACCAAACTCTTATCTCCATCCAGAATTTCAGCTCTGAAAATGATAATAAAAAAAATTGTAGTAAAAATTTGATAGGGAATATAGAAAATAGGAAATAAATAAATAACAAAATTCCCCCGCTAGAAAAAAAAGGCATAAAAATATATCGATACATTGCAATAATCTTGGAAGGGACGGTGAGCAACACGATAATGTTGGAAACAGTTGTTGTTTGTGGTTCCTTTCCACCTGTCTCCCAAAAATATGATTTCAAGTGAGAGAAAATTTTGAATCGTAAAGTACAACAAAAGCCAGTAACCACTTTCACATTCTAGTTGGAATTGTTGCCATCCTCAAAAAAATCCCCAAGAGTGCACCCAAATGTTTCAACGACAATAGCAACGAAAATTGTGTGTAGAACTTTATTTCATATTATAGGTAATGCATGTACGTACGGCAGAGATGAAAATCGATTAAGCGATTCTCTTTTTTTATTTTAAAAAATAGGTGTAGTGCGAATCATATGGGAAATTGATGCCACAGATATAACCTATGTACACCGACACATGATTTTCATTTTAAATGGATTGTATGGTTAAGCAATTTTTCAATGTCTCGTGTACATGCTCATTGGTGATGATAAATTAGTAAAGAATGTGTTGAATGAGGCGAAGTTGAATTAGTAAAGGTTTTTGGACTGTGTTTTGGGTAGGGTTAAAGATATGAGTGTCTAGCTTTACAAAGGAGTTCATACCTTTTAACAGTGATATAAACTAACCTTTTAGCCATGACCTACTTCAGAATTCACCTTAGAGCATCATCAGAGCACTCAGCCACCCGACCAAACTACCAACTATTCCCACCAATCATTCATAAAACTTCCCGAAAATAAAACACACCAAAAGCTTGGCTGGGATGAGAACAAAATCATTATATTGAAAATATTTTCAGATACACAAAATGTCATGGAACATTTAAAAAATATATTTTTCATGTGTGTGGCATTGTCAGAAAAAGTTTTCAAATTAAAATGCTGAAAATTTTTGGGTGAACAATTTTCATTTGGAAATATGTAGTTTTGTGCTTTTAATGAGAAGCGACATAATGTGTTGTGTGAAAGGTATTGGAGATGGTGATTAATAGGGGCATCAAAATTGGGATGAGCGTGGCTTGAAGATTGGGATTGCAATATTGGATCAAACTTTAATTCGATGCGTTTTTTTAATTAAGGAACTTGAAATTGTAGCCTAGATGAAGCTAATGCTAAACAAACTAGAATTTGACAGCCTCCTCTGCTCCATGTCAACTGTTCCTCTGCAAAATATTCTTTTAAACTAAATCTCTCACTTCCTTACTCAGAACCCCTATTCCCAAAAAAATAACAAATGGAAAAGCACAGAATGATGATTATTGTTCCATACTATTCACCATTTACCCTCACATAATTTCAGGTATGAATACAAAATATCGATTCTAAAATGAAATCTCTCGCTAGATTTAAGTACAGCGTTTGAAAATTCAAATTTATGCTGAATGTTCTTCATCCTGCTCAAAAAGTTTTAAAATAAACTTTGTTTCAAAATGCCGAGAACATGAAAATTCAGCATGTAAAATATTTACCGTAATGAGATATTGATGATATTTGTAATTCTACACATGAGTTTATGTAATCAATCAATCACGTTGTCTTGAGAAGGAGTGCACATAATTAATCCTCGTGCTGACGATGGTATTTTTAAGATAACAAACTCATTACGCAACGGAACCGCTTTACGTAAGGAAATCTTTCATTAATTTCCATCTATCCAAATAGAATCAATTTTATTTTCAATTTCCACCATAAAATAATGTTTTATTTTTATTATTATGGCAATATCCAGCCCCAAATAAAAGGCTCTGTCGATTAGGGATGTCAACTTATGATGTCCACAACTTAAAGGGTCTGAAGCGGTTTGACATTTTTTTTAATAAGATAATTCTGTGACGGGAGAGGAAGTCGAAAATATGAATTTTCTAATAGACGTCATTAGTGAACGACTCCTTACCCTTTTTCTTCCCTTTTAACAATATTTTTTCGGCAATTTAGAAAGCGAAAGTGCAACACATAAATTTATTTTCATGCCTTTTTTTTATTCTCTATTTCGCCCCCACACCAATTGCCATTCAAGGCACAATATACGTGTATAGATGTAGCATAACATGAAAATAAATTTTAATTTATTACCTTCCTAGTGCTATATTTCCATTCTCCTTACGCCATAAAATTTGCGGTTGTGGATCGCCCTGAACTGAACAATGTAGCTGAACAGTCTGCCCCGCAAGGATGCTCGCATTCGACGGCTCTTTGATAAATGATGGTTTAACTGTAATGAAATAGGAATGAGAAATATTTTAGTTTGAAAACTTTATGATAAGCAATTGTTATTTGAATTAATTTGTATGCAGAAAATAGAGAACTTTTGCCACCTTTGCATGACATTTTATGCTTGAAAATGCTCTAGTTTTACGCCCTTGTGAATTTTGCAATTTTATGCATGAATAACAATAATGAAAATTATGGAGTAGAGTTGATACTTTTTTTCCACGACTTTATGACTATCTACCGCATCGCATCTAAACTTAATTTTGTTATAAATTGAGTGAGGAAGTTGGGTTGTGAAGTTGTGGCTGTAACGCATATTTTGAGAATGATTTTTGATAAACTTTTGTGATTTTTCAGAGTATGTAGGCAAATCCGTCAATACGAGAATAAGACCTCAGTGGTCGTAAGTTAATAGACTGGCTGGAAAGCAGAAACTCATTGCGGGTTCGATTCTCATAAAAATGCACCGATTATTCCATAAAATGTCGACTTTACATTAATGAGGCGTTGGTTCGAATCTCTTCCAAAGTCCCATAACTTTCAAACAGTCTAATGGGTGTCAGACCCTCTTGTCTTGCATTAAAAACGTCAAACATAAATAAAGCTTCCTGAACATTTAAAACATGTCAAAAATTACTGAAAAATACCCTTGACATCATCAAAATATTCCATCCAGACATTATGATTGACACGTTCACTAAGAATTTTCTAACAATGTTCATAAACTCCACCACAGTTCCTTATAATAACCCTTTAAACATTTATCATGCTAAACTTCAAAATAAAACTTTTTTCAAATTTTTTTTAATAAAACGAAGCAGCAATGAAGACAACCAGAGAGAACACAAAATTCCCATATCAAGGGATGAGAACATGCCGCAAGGATAACTGCTTTACATTTTTGATGAATAAAATTAAATTTAATAAAAATTCTTTCAAACATTTTTTTCGGTTGTGGATAGAAGGTAGACCAGAGAAGCCAGCTAACGATGCAAGAAGAAAAACTTTTCATATCTGTGGGTAGTTGCATTTAATAAAATTTACGCTTCTTCTTCTCACAACTGCCATTCAGTATGAGAATAAAAAAAAAATGGTAAGCAAGTACAAAAGATGAGGCGACAGGCAGAGTGGAGAAAAAGGGTCAGTCAGCAATGTGGCTTGATTTTTTAAAGGCATAAAAAGATTCTTGCGGCAATGGAATATTGAATGTTCTTCTTGCTGCTCATATGCATATGAATATCATCATCATGAAGTAAGATTACAATTTTGAGATTGCGATCAGCAGCACACCCAAAAAATATTGAGCACAAGAGTATAAGAAATAAAATTAATTGTATAATAATCGTCATTGGTTGGTCTATAAGTCTGACTGATCGTTCATCTAGCTGTCAGGCTCTCTGGATATCTTTCCATCTATTCATCTTTACATGCCTATGTGCTTTATTATTTGCCTAATTTCCTAAATCCCTACTCAGACCTGCATCGCTATGCTTGACGAGACTTTTCTAGTTCAACATATTCATACATGAATTAAAATTAAGATTCATTGCAATGAGAGGAGATGAGGATAAGAAGAGTTCCAAAAAAAATATAAATTTATTGGCTGAAGGCATAAATTATTAAATTACATTTTTGCTGCCATTCCTACATACACCGTAAATATGATAAAAGAACAAATTTATAAATTTATGAAGTTAATGTAAGGGAGCAGGAATGTGTCTCGTATTTTTACGTTGATAAAAATCTTTCTTTGTAACGTAAGCTGAATATTCGTTAGTCGAAAAAAAATAATTGAGAGACTGGCTAATATTGCTGTTGCCTTTCCTGTGTACGCGTTCGCATTCAAAACGATTTCATTTCAAGTAAGGCAAATGAAAAGTTTATGTTCCCTTTTTGTTTGGTGGGCCTTCGGAGAAATTTTCAATTTTAAATCGTGAATTTTTGAACACCTTTTCACGTGGATGAAGGAAATTGCTTTAATTTTGAATAGAAACATTTTTTTGGAGGACGAGGGAGTTGATGTTGTGCAGGGTACCTTAGAACTTTTGAGGTCATAAATTATTTTGAAAGTAAGTGAGAATTAATGAAAATTTATATTATCAAGAAGTTTTTCAACCCTAAAATTTTGCTTGCTAGCTGTAATTTAGTGCTTTGATGTTTAGGTTTTATGGATTCTTCGCTTTAAGGAGAGAGTGATCTGGTGTATAAATCCATATGTAGGTGAATTTGCTAGTGCGATGGTTAGACTTGAGTGGCAAGTCGAAACAGCAATTCTTTATTATGAGAGAACATAAGTTCGATTCTTACCAACAGTTGATATCTCAATGTGGACATGGAATGTGGTCGATATGGACAGATCCACACAATATTTGAAATTTTATAATAAAAAATGATAAAACCAAATTCAAAATTTTAACAATTTATTGGTTTCTTAGTCACTGCTTGCCAGATGGTCATTAATATCATAAACTAATCAATAAATTCAGTCTAAAATAAAACACTTACACGTTCACTACTTCTTATGTCACAAAAGATTGATAGTAAGGTAATCAATCAATCAACAATCCAGCTGACTTGTCAGTTAATCAATCCATTTATAACTTAATAGACTTAACCGAGTTCAAGCTGAAAATTATCCACAAATGGCTGTGATTTGTCTGCAAATTATCACCTTTTCTGATTCAGTTGAGTAGATAACGGTTCATAAGGAATAAACTTCAAGTTAAAAAATACAATTCATCACTAAAGTTTGACACATTAGCATCTATTGCTTATGTACTTCAAACAGCTTAGAAGTAGGTCAAAATTACCTTTAAACCTGAAAATTCATCAACAGAATATTTGTTGAATTAAAATTCAGTTAAAAAATCAACAAGAACCCCAAAAATCCAGAACTGCCAAAGGCATATCCTTGACAAATTCTCAATATGTATCGAATGCAACAACAAAGTCCTTATCACACAAAAAAATGTAAATTTTCCAACAACAAACATTAGAGCAGATTATTTTAAAGATATAAAAGAAAATCTTCAAGTTTTTCATGAGGAAAAGTTTTTCTGAAAATTTTTACACATATCAATGACGAGAATCAATTCACATCCTTTTTTTTCATCCCCTCGTTTGATGCTGAGTGTTAAAAACAACTTCAGAAGAAAATTTCCATAATAAAATTATGCTAAAAAATCAAAATCAATTCAAAGCTAAGGCAAGGAAATTGTCGCCTTTTTAAAAATCAATATTTTTTATCTTTTTCCCTTTTTTTCTATCGTCTATAATCGTGGCAAGACAAGGAAGATAAAAGACAACAATGTCAAAATAGAACGAACGGGTAACTGAATTTCAATGAGCCTTTCTTTTCCATTTAATACGCTGGCTTTTACAGCTTTTATATTGTCATAAAATATCACTTCTTTTTACACATTCTCTCTGCTTTACATCTCTTTGCTTCCTTCATCTCATAAATATGGGATGAGGGGCGGCAAGGTTGGGTAAGTGCTTTTTCTTTCTGCCTGTGAGACAGAGGATGTAGAAGTGAAAAAAAAATATATGCAAATTGCCAATTCATTTCATCTCAATACGCTCTTTTTTTTGCTATTTTCATCAGTAAGCAGTAGATGTAGCAACTTATTTGTTTCAAAACCAGCACTTTCAAAAACTTACTTTTGTTATCTTCATTTTTTTTTTGCTGTTGTGTGATTCAGTGGTGTCCTTATGGGGACTTTTGTGAGGGTTTTTGGAAGGAATATTAAGATTTTTCTAATTTAGATATTCCTAAGGCCGATGTCTTATTACGTTGAGCCAGTGATGGTCAACCCGTAGGCCGCGGCACACTAAAAAAAATTTGGAATATCCCATGTGAAAAAAAAATATTCAAGTGCACAATAAATCAAGACATATTTTAAATGGGGTTCGAACCACAACTTTTGATTTCTCTTTCAGAATGCTTGCTGTCTAAGCAAGCAACTGAATTCTGCTATAAAAACTTTTCAGCAAGTCCCTTACTTAAAGCTCAATTCCCACAAAAAAAAACCGCATAAAACCACCTCAAGGATATCCCTTTACACTCAAAAGAAGTAAAAAGAAGAAGCGAGAACCACAAAAAAGGATCGTCGACGACAGAGCAAAAAAAAAGAACTTTTCTCTCTTCTATTTCCTCCTTTTTTGCCATTATTGATGTCAGAATAAAATGAAAATATTTTTCCTTTCCCTTTTTTTACTCTCTGCATCCTAGTTAACGTTACTGGTTCTCTTTTTGTACAATCCGCATTGTTCAAAAGTTGGAAAAAGAGTCCTTTAAACGATGACAAAGACAATAAAGGCATGGAGAAATGAGATGAAAGCATGCAGTGAGGCTTTAATATACTTGGCATGATTGTGCTTGAAGTGGTAAACCTTTCAAGCTTTTTTTTCTGCTATTTCATCATCAACAACTTCAATAATAAATAAATATGCTATGGGAAGTGTTTCAGATGTGAAAACAAAAGATGAATGCTTATTAAATTAAAGCCCATTCGCCTGAGTGTAGGACAATTCCCCACTGTAATTTCGCCACTTTACATTTGGCCACTGACATTTCACCACCACTACATTTTGCCACCTGTACATTTTGCCACTATTTATTTGCCCACTATTTATTTGCCCACCTGTTTTTTTCGCCACTGCTTTTTTCGCCACCTTTTATTTGGTCACTATTTATTTGCCCACCTGTTTTTTTCGCCACTGCTTTTTTTGCCACTAATCATATGGCCACAAGTTTATTTGCCCACTGATTTATTTGCCCACTAAAGCAAATGATAAAATAAAAAATTGTAAAAAATATTGAAAAAATTTTGTTAAAAAAACATGAAATTTTTAAAATTATTTTTTGGAGCATTTATGGAATAATTGGCCATATTTGGGTGTTCTGAAAAAATCATGCGACCTTACGTAAATGTGCTTGAAGGTGTAACGATATATTGAGATTTGAATAATCTCTCTTCTCTGGCTTGGACTTATCATCAC